GGGGGGGACGCGGGGGGATGCCATCCCCCCGGGTGAGGTGCGGGAGGGCGGGGCCTGGAGCTCCCTGCTGGTGCCCGCTGGAGGTTGCCGCCGGCTGTGGGGAGGACACACTTCCGGTGATGTCAGGGGGTGTGGCATATGCTAATGAGTTATGCTAATGAGTCCCCCTAGCTCTTTTTCTACGAAATGACCCCTGGTGTGAAGAATCCGGAATACTGCAGTGAAAGGTTCAAGAGAATATCTTGTTGAGTACACGAGAAACTGCAAAAACACTTGTGAAAGTAGCTGGCAACCAGGGTTCCCTCTAAGCTGAGTTAGTGTGAGCTAGCTCACAGTTTTTTAGCCTCTGGCTCACACCTTTTTGTCTTGGCTCAGGAAGGATGGCTCCAGAGCAAACTAGTTTATGCAGCAGCCAAATCGCTCGCTCACAACTTTAGTGCCAGTCGCTCACAAAGTAGAATTTTTGCTCACAAGACTCCACAGCTTAGAGGGAACATTGCTGGCAACTGCAGAGTTCAGGGACTGTTATGACTACCTTTGATGACGTCACGACCTGGTGTTCAGGCTTTCCATCTATAGGGGGTGGTGGCAGAGCACAGCTTAAATCCCGGCTTGCTCCACCCCCCTTAGTGACATCAGACACTCTGCGTCATGGTCACCTGCCTCTCCCTCTTTCTGGGGGAGGCAAAGTGGCCTGTGCTGGCTGGCTCCATGGGCGGAAGGAACCCAAAAGTATTTTCTGAAGTTCTTCTTTGGGGCTAATAGATTGATCTCATGGGTCCATGGAAAAAACAGAAATATGACATCTGTTATTTCTGTACTGGCCATATCATAAACAACTGTCAGCTTTGTATTTTAGAGTGATTTTCTCCAGGGAAGCAGATAAAATTTTGTGGAAGTGGCTTAGAGAATGAGACTATGCCTTTTACATTTAAAGGGAGAACATCTCTATCCCAGTTTCAGGCTTTTGATCAAAGCCAGATGTCTGTGCTTTTGGACTAAACTTGGATGGCAGCTGCATTTCTTTTCTCCTCAACACAAATTCCAGGAAGCCTTAAAACTCATCGTGCAAATACTGTTACTCTTGAAAGCCACTTTATTAGAGCTGTCTGCAGGATTTCCACTTCTTCCTTTTTCAGTTGGAGTTGCCAGCAGTGCTCCCTCTAAGCTGAGTTAATATGAGCTAGCTCACAGTTTTTTAACCTCTGGCTCTCAGATTTTTTTTCTTCGCTCAGGAAGGAGGGCTCCAGAGCAAACTAATTTATGCAGTAGCCAAATTGCTCACTCACAACTTTAATGCCAGTAGCCCACAAAATAGAATTTTTGCTCACAAGACCCCACAGCTTAGAGGGAGCATTGGTTGCCAGCAGCTGGCAGAGGAAGGTGATCCTGTGTTTCTCAAGAGCTACAAGGGAGATTATCACTGTGATAAGAAAAGCACGGTTTTTAGAATGCCTCACTGTCATGCTACCCTTAAGGCACAGGGGCCCCCCAACCAATGGCATTCCATTTCATGCTTCACATTCCAAATCCTAAACTCAGTTATGTGCCTACTATAAATTCAAAACCCTACTTCTTGGAATCAACCCAAGTACCTCAGATTCACTTTTCAAAAAAGTCACAGAATAGTTCTCTGAAATTAAGTAAAAAAAGTTTTTTTAAGATAAATCTGTTGCTAATAGAGTAGAAAGAGGATGGAGAGATAAATCCAGAAACAGTGTATGAAAGGGGGGGGGAACCCAGCATTTTAGAAATGAAAGTGTTTCCCAAAAGGCACCCTCTGCCAGGTTTCCCATATCTACCAACTATGTTCTAAAGCTGCTGGAAAATCTCCAGATGCTGCTAAGATGCTCATAGTTCTAGTAGAGAGTGTCCTGAATCAGTAGATGGTGTTTATTTTAGATATTACACAGGAGATAAGTCAATGTTATCACTGCCTTTCTGTGGAAGTGTGCGAGAAAGAGCTGTGGAAACCCATTAGAGGCTGTTGTTGATTCCAAATGCCTGCGTGTGACCAGGGTTCCTGAGGTTGACGCCTTTCCCCCCCCCTCCCCGATCAGATGTTTATGTTATTAACAAGTGAAACAGGTACAAATGTCACAAGTATTCTTAAATCATGCTGGGAAAACAGCATCTGTTGAATTTGTCACACTGCTATTAAAAGCACAGAGCTTTGGGTGAGGGAGAAACTGTCAATTCCACCTTTTCCAAATGCAAACACCGCTCCCTTCTTCGCCTGCCAATAGAATTGCTGGGGTCTATTTGGGACCCATCTGGTGTGCCTTCCATTTCGGAAGGTGCCGTTTATCCAACAGATTTACATGAATGGGGTGATGTGCGGTACCCTTGCCAAACGTCTCCCTTCTGTAGAGCCTCTAAAGTAAAAGGGAACCATTCTTTGTGAACAACTAAATAGTCCAAATACCAATAATTCCTGAATCTAGTCCAGCATGTAACACTCTTAACTAGCACTTACAGAATATACTATTTTTATAATTTTATAATTGTTTGAATTTTTATATTACAATCTATATGACTGTATGGCCCTGTTGCTTGTAACATAAAGTATAAAAACTACTATAAATGTAGACTTCAGACATCTGATGAAATGAACTCCAAATCTCGAAAGCTAATACTGGAATCAATTTTGTTAGTCTCTAAGGTGCCACAGGCTTCTGTGCAATTGGCATTGGCTGTATATTCCTTGAGGGGTTTAATTCTGAGGTTTGTCCTCAGTTTTCCCTTTTTTGTTGCCAGCCAGCCACCTTAGGGAGGGGAGTTGTTTTTTTTTTAAGAGGATCTAAATATTTTAAACAAATAAATTGCAAAGGAAGAGTGCACTTCCCACCTTATGGCCTTACCTGTCTGCTGACGAGATCCAGCAAGCATAGCAAGCACCAAAGCTGCCCACAGACATGTTCCAAAGTGCAGCTGCAGCATCTGGGCCATGCCAGGAAGCCTGCCCTCACCCCTTTGCTGGACACACACTTTGGGTAAATTAAATGTTGTTTACTGTAGCTTCTTTCCCCTCTCCTTTCAATCCCAGAAGCCACTGCTGGAACGGTTCCCCCCTTCTATTCCAGCCCTGCTGCAGTTGAATTCCCATTTCCTAACGGATATTTTCCACCATAAAATGCAAACGTTGAAGGCATAGCTTCTCTAAGCACTCTGCCAGCACAAGTCCCATTTATTTAGAGCATTAGGCAGTTTCTTTTACTCCCCCCACCTTTTGGCATTTTTTCCCTGATTTTTTTTCCCCCAAAAGAGAGCCAGCTTAAAGGAGGAACAAGTTCTTAATAGCTAAGGATTTTTTTACTGAAAATGCATGATAAACTGGTCCTCCTTAAAAAGAAAGGTCAATTGATGCCACCTGAAGACATAGGGAGTAGGCTCCAATCTGCTTTGCTTCATTGTTTTTTCTCCCTCTAGCATGGAAATCAAGAGCAATTTATTAAATATATAAGAGGGTGGAGCTGAGAAATCTAAGCAAACTCCAAAACATCCAGAATGGATTAATTTGGAGGAAGAAAGGGCAGTTCTTCTTAATCTGTTCAACATTGATCCTGGAGGAAGATAGAAGTTTAGGACTACAATGATTTAACAACCCTGAATCCGTTAATCAGTTGGCTACCCAGTGCCATGTCAGAAATACCAGACATAGGGCGATTTCTCACGAGGCACTTGCGCCTGGTTTCCCCTGGAGTTTCCTGCTCCGTAGCGTTTTTTTCAATTTCACATCAAGCCTGTCTGACCCCCTCGTGCAGCGGGTCTTTCATTTTACATTGAAGCCTTGGGGAGTGGCTTCCTGCAATTCACCTCCTCCCACTACCGCCCCTTGGTTTCCAAACCCTCCAAAACCCCTCCCATCTGACCTCCCTCCACCCACCCCTTTATATTTTTTTTTGCACGCATGCTCTGTATCGTTAGATCGTTATTTCGGAACAATGGTGGTGAGGAGACATCATGTGACACTTCTTCAGCAATCTGATTGGTGCTCTTTGTCCTCTGAGCCGGGAGTTTTAAAAAAAGGTCTGGGGATTCTCCATTTTGCACATCTCAGCACTGAGACTTTTCCCCAAGATTGATGACCGTCGGGAGAAAGCGTTAGCTGTACTCTGCTCATTGCTTGAGTGTATATTGTAGCATCTATTTCATTGCCGTGCAGTGTGGGCGGGCAGCATCTTTTTCATTGCTACAATAGGACGAATTGCTTGTTCACAACTTTAACGGCGGTGGCGGCCCGACTGGCCGATCGGCCGAGCAAGAGAGCCACGAGGCCGCAGGCAGCCCGCCCCTGATCCCGCTGCCCTTAATTTCGTTCCTGCAATGTGCCGATATAACGACACCAATCTTTTAAACAAAAAAAAGAGGAGGTGGGCTAATGGGCGTGGAAAAAGTGGGGAGGGGGGAGGGGGGAGGGCTCAGTCACCACGAAGCAAACAGAAAATCCTGGGATTTGAGGATTTCAGCTGATGCGGCCAAAAGGAAGCATCGAGCCAAATGGTGTGAAACCGATGAGATGCTCTGGAGGAAAGAGAGGCTTCACCACGCTTCATCGCGGGAAAAAGTCCCGTGAGAAATCGCCCATAATTTTTGAAGCCCAATTATGGTCAAGTTCAGCAAATATTGATAAGGTTTCTCCACAGCTTTTTTTCAGAATTTCAGCGAGAGGAAATACCTTTCAATTGTTAAGAAATAACAACCTTCCATAGATCTGAGAAGATAATCCAAAACTGAAATCCATGTCATACCTTTCATTAGGACCAGCCAAGCCAACACAGCAATTATGGTCAAGTTCAGCAAATATTGATAAGGTTTCTCCACAGCTTTTTTTCAGAATTTCAGCGAGAGGAAATACCTTTCAATTGTTAAGAAATAACAACCTTCCATAGATCTGAGAAGATAATCCAAAACTGAAATCCATGTCATACCTTTCATTAGGACCAGCCAAGCCAACACAGCACATGATGCAAGATTTTAAGTCCTTCAGAACTCTTCATGAGACTAGATGTTAAAAGTGTTTGTACAGGCTATGACATTCAGGCCTGTCTGTCCAGACAGTGCTCTTAGTAGGCTTCAGTGACCAAAGGGTGCACCTAGCTGGCCTGGTATCAGATTGCACCCTACTACAAACCAATAAGGCTATCCACCTTTTTCTTGAAAGAATAAGGCTCAAAATGGCCAGGGCAGCTTCTGCCTCCTGAAACTCTGAGCCATCACTCTAACCTAGAGTTGCCAACTGTGGGTTTGGAAATTCCTAGATATTTGGGGGTGGAACAGGAGGACAGCTGGGTATGGATGGACACGAACCAGGAAAATGTGGTTTGATTTGTAGTGAACCATGAACCGTCATGAACTTTTAAGAGCCAAATGAACTGATTTGGTTTGTGGTCTGGTAGAATGCTCCCCCCCCCGGCATACTAGTGGCACTAAACTTTCAGGGGATCTCCGGCTGACTCTCCTCTACCTGCCCTCCACGTTTGGTGAGGATTGTATTTATAGTGGCCAAGTTACGCTCTACCAAAGAAGATGCCCCCAAGAAAGTGCTTTCTGGGGAAATGACAGCTGAGGTGGTCATTTTGACACGTGTAGGTTCAGGAATGTATAGAATGGATCCTTTGCAAGCTACAGACACCAAACTCATAGGGGATCTCTGGCTGACTCTCCTCTACATGCCCTTCAAATTTGGTGAGGATTGGATTTACAGAAATGGGAAGCGAACATGGAGGCTGGAGAATCCCCCCCTGCTTTGAAGTTTGGTAAACGTTTTGTTTGAGCAGAGACAGTCTTTCTGGAAATGTATCCATTCACCAAGTGCACAAACCTCCAGGAACTGCTTGAAAGTTTGTGAAAAGTTTGTGCCGGTTGACCTGCCACAAACTTCAGTCTGCAAACCATGAATCAGCCAAAATTCATAATGAACTTTAGTTTGTGAGCTGGTTCAAGCTCATCCCTACAGCTGGGGAGATAATGGAACTTAGCAGGGATTAGGGATGCCAGCCTCCAGGTGGGGCCTGGGGATCTCCTGAAATTACAGCTCATCTCTAGACTACAGAGATCAGATCCCCTGGAGAAAATGATGCTTTTAAGGGTGGACTCTATGGCATTGTACCCCACTGAGGTCCCTGTCTCCTCCCGAGGATCTACCTCCAAATCTCCAGAAGTTTCCCAATCTGAATCAGGCAACCCTAACCACCATCCCCCACTGATGGCCATGGGGGACCCTGCAACCCTAGCAGGGATATGATGTCATAAGAGTCCACCCTTGGAAGCTGCCATTTTCTCAAGGGGAACTCATCTCTGTAGCTTGGAGATCACTTGTAATTCTGGAAGGTATCCAGCCCACACATAAAGGTGAGCAAGCCTACTCTAACCATAGGGCTGAGAGCTCACTGACAATAGCAACATATTCTCAAACCTTACTCCATAGCACCCTTTGCTCCACAGCCCTTACTGCTGAGGGGCTTCCAGAATTAATATAGGATAAGGATACTATCCATTTAATAATTTCATACAGTGGAGAACTAATGCACCCCTCACCTGCAGCACAGTAGAGATTGAAGTTGTTATGTGCTTGCATTTTTCCTTTGCACAAACAGTTAAGTCACAAAAACCTACCTCCACAACACGTAATGTTGTTAGGCTTGTCTCTCCTGAAGTTACTAGATAGCCTCAGAGGGCACAGTGATAGACCTAGGTTGGAAGCCCACCAACTGCCCAAGCTCAGCCTCACCTACCTAGAGGGCAGCTATTTGTACCATTTTGCAGGGTTGCCAACCTCCAAGTGGGGCCTGGAGAACTCACAGAATTTTAACTGATCTCCAGACAAGAGGGATCACTTCCCCTAGATAAAATGACTGCTTTGGAGGATAAACTCTGTATATCCTGCTGGGCTCCCTGTCTTCTCCTCCCTAAACCCCATCTGCCCCAGGCACCACCGACAAAATCTCCAGGCATTTCCCAACCCAGAGTTGGAAACTTTTTTGCTCTGTCCCTTTTCAGGAGATCCCCTCTTTAAGGGGTCTGAGGATTCCTTAAAGATCTCTGAGGATCTACAACATAGAGCTGTGTATAGTGTTGGACTAGATGGGCCTTTGGCCTGATCCAACATTGGCGTCTCTTATGTTCTTAACATGCCTCCCGAGTCCCCCAACCTGGGTGCCAGGGCAGGTACAAGGTTTGCCAATCTCCAGATCTTCCAGAATTTCAACTGATCTCCAGATGACAGAGATCTGTCCACAGGGGAAATGGCTGCTCTGGTGGGTGGACTGTGTGGGGATGCCAGCCTCCAGGCGGGGCCTGGGGATCTCCTGAAATTACAGCTCATCTCTAGACTACAGAGATCAGATCCCCTGGATAAAATGATGCTTTTAAGGGTGGACTCTATGGCATTGTACCCCACTGAGGTCCCTGTCTCCTCCCGAGGATCTACCCCCAAATCTCCAGAAGTTTCCCAGTCTGGATCAGGCAACCCTAACCCCCATCCCCCACTGATGGCCATGGGGGACCCGGCATCCCTAGCAGGGATGTGATGTCATAAGAGTCCACCCTTGGAAGCTGCCATTTTCTCAAGGGGAACTCAACTCTGTAGTCTGGAAATCACTTGTAATTCTGGAAGGTATCCAAGCCCACACATAAAGGTGAGCAAGCCTACTCTAACCACAGGGCTGAGAGCTCACTGACAATAGCAACATGGCTGCTCTGGTGGGTGGACTGTGTGGCCGTATGCCCTGCTGCGGTCCCTCCCCAAACCCTGGCCTCCTCCTCCTAAATCTCCAGGAATTCCCCAACCCAGAGTTGGCAACTCTAGCAGGTACCATGATGTCTCCTCCTGTTGCTGTTAAGCCATCTGCACAGCAAAATTTCCCATCCCAGCAGCAAGGCGCTCTTTTCTTGTTCGCCTACTTTCTCTTGACTGCCTCCAGGGTCCTCTGGCATTTCTTTTTATAGGCCCCCTTCTCGTTTGGGCCAGGTCACTTGCTGGTTTGCTCAAATCACTTCTGGTTGCCCAACAGGGCTGCTTCGATGGCTTCTCTGGGGGCACAAGACTTGGTGTGCTACAATTATTTATTCTCAAACTTTTACAAACAACAGACTATGACTATAGCCCAACTATATTATTATCAGTATTTTACACATAATATCCACTGAAGGGAATCACAGCTTTAGAGTCTGTGACTTCCCTGCATTAATAATTGTAAGAGTAGTGAGAATATGATTCAAAATTGGTGTTATACACACACATTATTATTCAGGACAATGTACATAAGTCTGTGCTTTCATCTATGAAAATGAAGTGTTTATGTCATAGCTAAAGATGCACTTGAGGAATCTCTAAACTGCAGTTTGCTTACAGAGGTTAGCTGAAATGTCAAAATGGCTCTGATTGTTGGGGGCTTGAAGCTTGCTTTTAAATGTATGTCTGGAAAGAATGTGACATCCTTTTGATGTGCATTCAGCTTCTTCAAAGATGTCAGGTTTTCAGATTCCCAGCCACTATGTTAAGACTAGAGAGGTAATGTGGTATAGTGGTTAGAGCATGGTTCCCCAATATGGTGACCTTCATGTGTTCTTAGAAGGTTTGAGGGGCAAGGTGTGATTTTTGCCCATCTCATGAATAGGGGATAGGCAGGTCACATTCCTGAAAAATAAATACAGATACTGCCAGATGAGGACTTCTAACGACCTCACTATTTATACATACTATGTGTGTATAAAATAAAATATTTTGAAACAATGTATTCATTTTAAAGAGCATCCTGTTAAACATAGCTTCTGCATGAAGCATTGAAAACTTGGAAGCAGTTATGCACATATTCATTCCCTGGCATTTTGTGACTGGCTCCACCTCCTGCAGCAGCGATTTTGTGGTTGCACCCACCACCAGTGTTCCCTCTAAGCTGAGTTAGTGTGAGCTAGCTCACAGGTTTTTAGCCTCCAGCTCACACATTTTTGTCTTAGCTCAGGAAGCATGGCTCCAGAGCAAACTAATTGATGCAGAAGCCAAATCGCTCACTCACTTTAATGCCAGTAGCTCACAAAATAGAATTTTTGCACACAAGTCTCCACAGCTTAGAGGGAACTTTGCCCACCACCCTGTGTCAGAGGTCCAAAGGTGCCCACAAATTCAAAATGCTGGGTGCCCCCAGGTTAGAGTGTTACACTAGGATCTGGGTAGACTTAGGTTTGAATCTCTACTGTGCCATGGAAGCTTGCTGGGTGACATTTGGTCAGCCACTCTCTCTGTCAAACCCTACCCCACAGGGCTTTTGGGAAGATAAAACGGAGGAGAGAACAGTGTAAGTTGAAAGTCAATATTATAAATGAACCAAATAAAAAACTAAAGAGATAAAATATTTACATGCAAGTTCACTGCAAGGAACCTCTCGGGAAAACAGCAAGAGCTCCACACTACCTATTAAAGGGAAAAGATGTTTGTGCAGATTTATCCATTATCCTCAGGTAGGAAGTACAACACACACTTTGCATGCAGAAGTTCCTTGGTCCAGTCCTTGCCATCTCCAGTACAACTATAGGAAACAGGGTTGCTGTGATGGTACCTCTTTTATTTTGTGTGGTTAGGTGCGATGTAGTTTTAAATTTCTTGTCGTTTCTTCCTCTCACTCAAAGTATCTATCACTGCCATCAGGAATCTAATTCCAGTCTTTAATTAACGTTTCCCACAGTATTGTGCCCAAGCTCTAAGTCTCCCTCGTGGACTATGTGGTTCTGAGGATAAGACTCTGGGTTAACAATAAACAAGATAAAACTTTATTGGTAAAAGAAGTGTATTGGTTACAAGATGTTTTGTTAAATTGCTCAGTAAAGTCTTTCCCTTTTTACTCAAGTCTCTGTCAGCTGTTTTCCTCACACTCTTATAATACTCTAATATTAGATTTTGCCTAATATGCCCCCTTAAGTATAGTTTCTTCCTCCTTTAGAATCTTAATGCCTTTCACAGCACTTCTATATAATTCTTAGAAGACTGCTTCTCAGACTCTGTGTAGATTGACCACAACTGACAGCTGCTGACTTCAAAACTGAACACTCAGCCTTCTCTCTCTCCACACACACACAACCTCCTAGCTCCGCCCACACACTCAGTCACCAGCTCTGCCCACACACTCTCGGTCACCAACCAATCACCTCACTCACTCATCTCCTTCTTTCAGCCCTTGTTCTTCTGACGCTTACCATTTAAAGGAACATACACTTATAACTTGAAATCATTACAGTTGCAAACTACGTCTGCCAGTTAGACAATACCGGCACAGAAAGACCAGTGATTTGGCACAGTAGGAGGCAGTGGTGTATGTCCATATGCCTACTTATTGCCTTATACACAAAGCTCAAAGCATCGTGTAGCCTGATTACCTCTCCATCTGTCCAGCCAAGTTGCTTGCAAGCACTGCTTCCAACACTGGAGTAACAGGTAATGGCTCCCAGTAATCCCACAAGGAACTGCTAGTGTTGCAAAGAAAATGTCAGTAACTCATGCTAGAAGGCTCAGCAACGCAAGTGAAATATAGTCAGACTTAAACACCTAGACTCCATTCATTGCCCTGGGCCAAAGCCTATAGGACGAGGAGCATCTTACATTTTTCAAATAAAATCCATCACTTGCAGAACTCTTCAACTACAAGTCAAGCTTCTTTCATCACCTACCCTCTGTGTTACACCTCAGGAACTTCATCGTTTTTGTATCATGCCTAGCTCCAATTCAGTGTCATTTGTTTACGACTGATGGGTGATTAGAAAGCCAAATCCAGTTCCTAACTCTGATCCACATTTAAGAAGCTGCCTTCTTGGTTACAACATTCACTGAGGTTTTAAAACAGCAGTGCATAATGATCCCATTCATTTCATATGGCAAACATGAATTTGCAAATGGGGAGATGCTCTTGTAACATATATAAAAGGCATAACCTCCAATGTCTTCCCATAGTACACAGAGTCGTGGAAGGCCTAGTGCCACCAGTGTTCACTCTTCAACAAGGGGCTGCCTGGCCATTCATGGTCTATTTGGATTTGTAAACACTATCTCAAGAACCAATTGTTTCAGATGATGCACAGCAAAGCTAGGAAATTCCGCTTAATGCATATGTAGAACCATAGCTCTACGGCCACTTAAGAGTGTCCTATAATTCCAAAACTGAAAAAGTATGGCTTAGTGCCTGCAGCAGTCTTTGAGCTATTTAGAGTCCATCCCTACAAGCAGTTAAGGGTCACGGGCCAAAAAAGACCTCCTTTCTGTACATTTTACCTGAAGGCCTTTATTATTTCCTGAAAAGAAGCCAGTTCTATCAGTCTCATGTGGGTCGTTTTATTTTACTACTTTCTTTGTTACTTTTACTACTCTCTTTGTGCACATCATTACTTTGAACCCTGAAGCTCTTCTTCAAAGCCAATCCTTTGAGGGCTTGCTCAAAAAAAAATGAGTTCCGATTCAGATAGACAAAAAGCCTCACACCAAAATTTCCTTTATTAGATATAAATATTTCATTCGACCAAACAGGAAGGCAGAGACATGGGAACATTCCCAGCCTCCCTGCTGCTACTTGACTTCTCCTTTCTTCTCTCCTGCTTCTATCTTCAGGGTTTCAGGAGGTTGGCGATAGGCGGGGAAAGTCTCCCAGGGACTGTTTAGATCAAACTTACGGAACTCCTGAGCCAGCTCCACAGGCTCTGCCACCACCCGTTTCACCTCGTCATCATATCTCACCTGAAGTGAATGTAAACAAGATTTGTGTTTACTGCCAAAACATACCTGGGATCTTAAAATTAGTTTTCTGTTCACCTGTGAAAGCCTGCAGGGTGGTCTTGATAAATACCAGCCCACGCCCACTCTACCTATTACCCCCTTTCTCCCCCACTCCCTTCCCATCTGGTTCTTCATCAGGCTCACCAGGGTATACTTCAGCATTTCACCATGGGGTGGCGGTGGTGACTGTGCAAACACAAACTTGGCTGAAGACCCCTGAGAATTCCTTGCTTGATTTTGTCACAGTGCCCTGCCTATCGTCTACTTGAGCCTTTGACTGGCTACTAAGGGAGACAGGATGCTAGCCAAGATAGACCATTGGCCTGACTCAGCAGAACTCTTCTTTTTAATTACAATATTCTTTTCTCATCCTAGAGCTACAAGGTTTGTCCTGACTCTCTCCTTCTGCCTTTTGAAATGGCACTACAAAGCAGAGATAATTCTGTGGTGTACCCCCCCAGCCTCTTTCTCCCATCCTAGGAAAGAGGGCTATAAGTGCCTGGCTAGTCTTTGCATCCATTCTCTTCGTTGTGAGAAATGGCTATGTATCTGAACGAGTGGCAAAATTTAAATCGGCTATCACTACTATCTGAACATGTCCCAAGTAAACAAGGATAACCAGAGTCTGCCTCTAGCACAACATCGGATCTAATGGCAGTTATAAAAGATAAAACTAAATTATTGTTGAACTCCCCACAACAGTCAACCTAGACTATCTTGCTTGGAACCACAGGCCATGCTGTGTGGGGTATGCCGGTCAAAAGTACCGAATTCACAGGCCCTAGATCTTACAGGAACGACACCCAGGATGCTCTGGAAAACACATGCTCTGTAAGTCTTGTTATAGCTATTGGGGAAAATGGTGTATGCAAAGCTACTGTATTGACTCAAAGGAAAAATGACCCTGGCCTGAACATAAGATACCCCCCACCCAATATTATACACCTTGAGCCATGACGAAAGGCTGGACATATCATGTACAGTAACATTATTTCTATATATAACTATAATTTGTATGTGATTTTCTTTTTCATTTGAGTAAATATAGTATAAGGACTAGGGGCCATAGTGGCTCAGAGGTTAGGACTAGAGATGTAAAATTTCCAGAAATTTTGAAGCTCGGGAAAAAAACCAGTTTTTTCCCCAGTTTTTTTCGGGGGGAAAACAGAAATTTTCAGAAACATTGAAAAAAATGCTACATTAGCATTTCTTATAAAATATGACTATGGACATTTTTACTTGGCATAAAATTATCACAACTAGCATATTAAAAATATAGTGTATCTAAACAATG